CCACTGTTTTATCCTACAGAGCCGAAAAGGACAAGGCTCAATTTGGTGCAGAGTTGAACGACCTCCGTGCTGGTGTGGACCATTTGTCCAACGAGAAGGTATTTTATACGTAACTGTTCGATGTGGACAACGCTTTAATGCTACCAGCAAATTATTAAGGTTGTGCCAAAATGAAGCTCTAATACTGTGATGGCATGGCAGGCATTAAAAATTGTACATAGCTTTCAGTAAGATGAGAAATTTTTTGCATTCAGTCGATAAATGGATATGTAAATATTTGTGAGACAGGATGCATTTTTACTGGACTTGTAAAGATTACTGCCATAATTATCACAATAAAAAATTACTTGAGATCTTTTACATATATTGTAATGTGTGGTTTAATATTACCTAACAATATTGTGTGTATACGCAATCATAAATTTTTAATAATTTTGATAAAAAAATTATTTTGTAGCAGCTCTGAGGCTGTCATTTGTCAATATTGCTTTTTATTTTATTCACTTTGAAAACATGCCGTTTTGATTCCTGTATTTTTTTTTTCTAGTTGACAGCAACAAAATAAATTTGCATGTCACTACATTTTTCCTGATGTACCTAACGAAATGTCAGTACTAACTTGTGTGTTATATGTTTTGTGTTTTAATAGAGGAAATCCAATATGTTTAACTTTAACATATTTAACAGAAATTCTGGTATACAATACTGTCTTTGTGAATTGGCAGAATGGATATTGAAAGAGTACATCATTCTGACAGTGAGAATATACATATTATGAACCTACTTATAAATAGTATTTTGATCATTAACAGTAAGACTATACTGAGCCAGTAGCTCCTGAATTTTGTAATATAATAATTTAATTAAATGCCCGAGTGGCCAAAACTGAGTACTTTGGCCATGACGACCTTACTCACCACTGGCACAAACGGGGCACTTCGGCACTTAAAGGTTAAAAATATTTCAATGAAATTGAAGTACTAGTCATGTATAAAATTGAATTACCAATTCAATTAGAGCATTTAATTCAGATTAATTATTAGTTTGGAAATATGCAGTATGGTTTGAAATCTTAAATATTTATGCTTGAGGAATATTGTGTTTAAGATGAAACTGATCATTTGTACATGTCTCATACTACGTGTATTTTCAAAGTAACTGACAATGAATTCATTGTATTTATACATTATTCCACAAGAAAATTAAACCGACATTAATATAAAATCATTTGGCCCATTAAAACGACAAAGATTAACACATTAATTATAATAACAATTATATCGAAAGAAGTTTCGGAACTTAAATTAAATTGTAATTAATTAAAAAATTCACACTGACGAGTGGTAAGGTATGTGATACCTCACAGCAGTACTTCATTTGATAAAACAACATTTCCAGCTGTCAAACCATGACGTTCTACAATCACTAACATTCACATCTGTGTTAATTGATAAAATAACAATGATAATCACACATAATTGCATTTGTTACATGAAAGGATAATATTATGAATGCCAGCCCCACCTTCTGATAATTTGGCGTTTTTAATCCATTAAATAATTATAAAAACTATCATACCAAATATGTTGTTTATTTTTTGCCTTCATTTTTACATTCAGAAATATATGCAGTACTTCCTTATATACATATTGGTGTCTTTTATTATGATAGGGGCGAAATTACATCAATTAATTTGTCAGTTAATTTATGACATATAATTAGTGTTAAAATATGGATTGATATTTAATATTTGGACTAAATACAAATAATCATGTTTCTTAAGATTTAATTAATACTCTTCTCTGCTATCTCTAATTGAACATGTATAGAACTGTGTTATGAGAATGTTAATATGAATTCCTATCTTTCCTTCACTGATGAAAATTCTTGTATGATGGATGCAACAGTAAATACGGTGGATGACTGAAATTCTAGGCTGCAGCTGAGAAGGTTGCCAAGCAAATCCAGCACCAATTGAACGAGGTGCAGGGTAAGCTGGATGAAACCAACCGAACCCTTAATGACTTCGATGCTGCCAAGAAGAAGCTGTCCATTGAGAACTCAGACCTGCTGAGGCAGTTGGAGGAAGCCGAGTCGCAGGTGTCACAGCTCAGCAAGCTCAAGATCTCCCTTACCACCCAACTTGAGGATACCAAACGCTTGGCTGATGAGGAGTCCAGGGTAAGGATACGATAGCTCATGTGCAGGAAAATTCTTTTTGGAAATCGACGAGTTTTGTTACAACACCTCTGCAAGTTTAGTAAAAAAGTGAGGTGAATTTTAAAGATTTATAAGAAATGGCATGTTCTGAAAATTAAATTACTGTTAATGTTCATTTGTGAAGAATGTTTATGCAAGCTGCATAAGGAACTAAATTATCTCATTCGTGTTAAATAACATCATTGACCATGGTTACATACTTTTGGTCTGTTACTTTTTTATTGCTAGTGGGGTGGGACTAAGTCCCCTGTACTGCGGCCACTTCTGGCCTATTGTACCAGCCCCAGATGATAGGTGAGGGTGATTGTGGAGCAATTGGTGGAATGAAAATTGGCAGGGAAAATCAAAGTACTCGGAGGAAACCTGCTCCAGCGCCATTTTGTCCACCACAAATCCCACTTGACCAGACCCGGGATCGAACCCGGGCCGTCGCGATGGGAAGCCAGTGACCAACTGCTTGAGCTATGGCGCGGCCTTTTTGGTCTGTTCAATTCCAACTTATTTTCTGGTATTACCAACATTTTAGATTTTTGGTAAGACTTCTTAAATGGAGGACTGGCCAATCATATGGCCTTATACCTACACAATACAGGGTAGACACAGAAATAATGCAGACAAACATCCATGCCATGAGTAAGATGATTTCAAACTCAAGATCCCAGTGTTCGAGCAGTTCATAGATGCTACACCCACTGATAATGGCCTCATAATATCCACTCATAATCGTTTAAAATTATCTTGAAAGAGTATCTTACCTTAACCTGATGCCACTATCTGATTGATTTGAATGTCTGCAGGAGCGTGCAACTCTCCTGGGCAAGTTCCGCAACCTGGAACATGACCTGGACAACCTGCGCGAGCAGGTAGAGGAGGAGGCCGAGGGCAAGGCTGACATCCAGCGTCAGCTCTCCAAGGCTAATGCTGAGGCCCAGCTGTGGCGTTCCAAGTACGAGTCCGAAGGTGTGGCCCGTGCTGAAGAACTTGAGGAAGCCAAGTAAGTTCATGATATGTGTGAGTTCGTGAGTGAATGAATATACAAGTGCAACAGATCCATCAATATATTTATCTGCTTCCTGGATTAATGAAATCCATCAGTGGTTCCCAGACTGTTTCCTGAGGAACCCTCTGATTCTAAGGGCAAAATAATTAGCCCAAAATGACAAGGTCAAGCGTTATTTCCATTCCCTCACTCAAAAACATTCAGTAATATTTCCTTTATTAATTTCTATGGTGATGTGACTGATGAATGTTGTCAGCCAAAATCCGATTTTCAGACCAGACAGGTCCAGTGCAGAATTTTCCCCATATCTTCTCCATTCCTCACTTCTTCGAAAGTCAAAACTTTGTGAATGTGAGGGAAATCCCCAGTGAGGCCCCCCCTGACAACCATAACCATCAGGATCAAAATAAAATCCCTGCTTGCCAACTGGGCACTTCAATAAAACCCATGGATTTTTAACTTTGCCCTAGCCAGAAGATCAGGCTGGTCAAAGATTATACTTGCGAATATATGCCTAAAGATAAAATCAGAACCTGCTTGCATGAAATTGTATTTTTACTATAGGCCTGTATTCTTACAGTAATTGTGTTCCAGAATATTGATACAAAAAAAGAAACACCTACCCAGCATAAGGCAAAATATTTAGATTTTTTTGCTATGAGAATAGTACGAGTAGAATCATTCCTCCCAATTTTACCATTTACACTGCATTTAAAATTTTTTACTTTTTCTTTTGTGTGCCATTTGAAACCATCCAACTTAGGTCACTTTGCACCTGCAGTTTTCAAGCTTTGTTTAAGATTTCATTTCCAGTTTCATAAACCAGAAGGGTTCCATGGATAAAAAGTTTGGGAACTGCTGAATTTACTTAAACTCCAGTTTTTTTCTAGAATTTTGGTTTGTTCTTCCTAGGCGCAGAATCAGAAACTTGATGAAGAACCCCTCCTAACCTCTGTGTTGAATAATGTAGAGTATGTAAGACTGTCAGTATCACTGAATCTTCATTACAGCTAAGCTGATGCTGTATATTGCACGTTCTTAAATTGTTAACTTTATTGATGCCATTAACCTAAGCTATTGCTGGATTATTAGTTATGTTAGTCCATTGTGTTGTATGTTCTCTTTAGTGATAAGGACTGTTAATAAACTAGCTTAGTTAACTTAATGGGTGTTTTGTACTCATTAAGCTTCCTCTCCTCAGTTCCTTCCATTATAATATGGAGAAGCTGTATCCTGGTACTGGGGTAGCACCTCATGACTGGCAACTAATTGCCATTACAGAATAATGTCATCATTTCACTGACACTAATTAATGTACCTGAGGTAACGCACTGCTTGTCTGATGGACTACAGTAGATAGAGTTTCTGTGAGTCTCAGGTGTATAAATAAACTGCTTGGAAGTTCTGTAGTATAATTAGATGTAGAAGCATTGTTCTGTGTGGAATTATCATTCAGCTGCTGGATAAAGGGACCTTAACTCTCAAATTTGTCATTTCTTCATTCAGGCGGAAGCTGCAGGCCAGGCTTGCTGAGGCCGAGGAGACCATTGAGTCTCTGAACCAGAAGGTTGTAGCCCTGGAGAAGACCAAGCAGAGGCTGTCTACTGAGGTCGAGGACCTGCAGTTGGAGGTTGACCGTGCAACTGCCATTGCAAATGCTGCCGAGAAGAAGCAGAAGGCATTTGACAAGATCATCGGTGAATGGAAGCTTAAGGTTGATGACTTGGCTGCAGAACTTGATGCTAGTCAGAAGGAGTGCCGTAACTATTCCACTGAGCTGTTCCGTCTCAAGGGTGCCTATGAGGAGGGCCAGGAACAGCTGGAAGCTGTACGACGTGAGAACAAGAACTTGGCTGGTAAGCATGCAGTCTTGCAAATATCCATATGTGAGATCAGATGCATAATGTTTGGTTTCAAAATGCAGTATTAGTTTCCTTAAGAACAGTAAGGTATATTTATATAGTAACAGCTATTTTATATGTAAAGCCAACAAAAATTAATTTTGTTTAACCTACCAAATGTCCTGGTTTTATCTCAGATAGTTTACTAGCCATCCTGATGATGAGTTTTCATGGTCTTCTTTAGTCATTCTAGGAAAATATTCCCACAGTACCCAAAAATATGCTTTTCTTACTTCGTTCCACATCCTCTCCAATTCATTATTCACAGTCATTCTTCCATTCAAAACTGTATAGCCAGTAAAGCTAACAAAGCATTGTTAAATAAACAAGGAATCAGATCATTTACAATAAAACCCTTTAATAATGACTTGATTTAGCTGTGCTAAAAACAAGCAACATTTTTAAAATCAAGCAAGTGATGTGCTTTAAAATAATCAGAACTTAACAATTTATTCATATTATTAACTGTAGTACTTACCCACTCCATGTCATCTGGCTTTCAGATGAGGTCAAGGATCTGTTGGACCAGATTGGTGAGGGTGGCCGCAACATCCATGAGATTGAGAAGGCCAGGAAGCGCCTGGAGGTTGAGAAGGATGAGCTGCAGGCTGCTCTGGAAGAAGCTGAGGCTGCTTTGGAACAGGAGGAGAATAAGGTGCTGCGTAGCCAGCTGGAGTTGTCTCAGGTGCGCCAGGAGATTGACCGTCGCATCCAGGAGAAGGAAGAGGAATTCGAGAACACTAGGTGAGGAAAGTAACCGGTCATGATATCAGCTGTGGTCAGACACTGGTTTCTGACTTCTGAGTTCCAGTCACTGAAGCAGGGTTTTCTCTGAGCACATCAGTTGATTTCTCTTCCAATCCCTACACCAGAGCCTCATACATTCATCATCGTTGAGGGTTTTTGTAGGCTCATTTGAGGTTGCAGTATAATGAATTCAGTCCCACATCACTCATAAAAGAAAGACAAATAATCCATCAAGCCTCATTTTTGGCAAGTGCTTAGCACTACATTAATATTGTATTATAATCCTGTTAACTTTTGAAGCAAAACTCTTATTGTAAAGATATTAAGTATTTGTACTTGATTTGTTCCATAACCTATGGTGTCAACATGTGCTTGGATTTATGGAACATAAATAAATTCAAATTCAGATTACCAGGGTCAAATGAAGCATGTAAGGATGTTGAGATTGTGGCCTTTGGTGTTATAACACAGCATCATATTTATCAACCTTTCAGAGGAACTTCCACCTTCAGGATAGAAAATTGAGGCCACAAGTTCCTCCAAATGTTTTTAAGAATACAAGAGACTGTACAGTGTCATAACTTAAAAATTCACAATTTAAATGCTGTGTAAACCTCAATCCTCATATAGCTTAAGATGATCTGGCTGTATGGCTTAGATGGGAAACAGAAAATTGACAAGAATTTTGGTGTGGAACTTCATAAAAACCAGAAATTTGGACCAACACAAGATATTAGGTTATTAATAAAATGTATTTAGGGGAAATATATAGTGAGGATATGAAAGAGATTGAACCAGTACAGAAGGTAGTTGTATGGCAAATATTCAAGCTGTGGGTTCTGTAAACAGTAAGTTACATACTATAAATGTTGCTCCCTTACATATGCAGTGAACCAATGGTTGAATCTGTTGAAATTTGGTGTCTTGCAGAAAGAACCACCAGCGTGCCCTGGACTCCATGCAAGCCAGCTTGGAAGCCGAAGCGAAGGGTAAGGCTGAGGCCCTCAGGCTGAAGAAGAAATTGGAGGCTGACATCAATGAACTTGAGATTGCTTTGGACCATGCAAACAAGGTGAGAACCTACATTTGATATATGCTTTTCAACTTCTGATTAGACCAAAACAGTATTTACTTCTCATCACATGAATTGCAGGCATATCAAAGAATGTGTAGCTTTCAAAATTAGCAGTATTTGATGGTAATTTCTTTCAAATTAATGCAGCATTAGCATAAAAAAGGAGAGAGTGGTGGGGGAGGGGAAGTAAATATAGACAGAGAAGAAGGATGAAATGAGGAAATACAAAAAAAAAAAAAAGAATAGGGGGAAAATTGTCAGATTAGGAGGATGAAGAAGAGGAGGTGGAGGAAAGATGGGAAGTAGAAATAAAGAAACAAAATGAAAACAACTGCAGTTTTTGCTAACTACCTGTACATACTTCTGTTATATGAGAATCCTATAAAAATAAGCCTGTTGCTGATTCTGTGGATCAGAAAGAAATACAAAATAAAAAGTTAAATCCAAAGGAAAATTAAATACAAAAAAGCCCTGAATAGATGGATGAAATGACTAGCTTTTGGAGCCAGAAAAACTCAAAGTAAGCAGACTTGTTATGTTGATGGCATACCCTCTACTATTAATTACCCTTCACTGCTTTAATAGAATCATTTAATCATCTGACTATATCACTTTGGTTCAGTATAGAGAATGATAAGTGCAAATCTAAGGTTGCAACTTGAAATGGTAACAGTCATATGTTTCTGTTTTCATGAGGCAGTATAGAATCTGGAACTATGTAAATTGAAGTAAAATATAATTACAGAATTAAGTACAGTTCCTATGTTTCCCTTTTGTGCTTCCTGTTGAATAGGTATCACCCATTTTGTCACACTCCTTAGTTCCATTTTTAATCCTTCAAGATCTCACTCTGCAGATGATGCATTTCATGAAACTGGAATAATCTTAGATTATAATACAGTTGATCAGATGTCAAAATTCAGTTGCTAGCGAAAGTAAAATTTTAGTATCAGTCAAAGTTCCTACTCTCCACATATCATGGTGTAGTAATTATAACTTATTTAATATTTTATGAGGTCCCAAGTCTGAATTTCTGTCTGATCAGTTACATTTACTTGAGGTTTTCCATGACTTTACTCAGTCTCCTTCCTTCCATGTTGTTCTGAATCAAACAGCCCTCACCTCAAAGGTGTGCAGTCTAGGCATTTTATAAATTGTCATTAAGTAAAGCAAAAAACGCAATACAACACACAAATTTGGAAACTAAAGATTTTTCTGTTGCTAAGCACCTTGCTATGAAGACATATAAGCAAATCTCTACACATCCTTAGCCTTGATACTAGGCGTAAATGAGCAGCCAGAACACAAGTAATGCTTGTTTAACGCTCATATGCTTCAAACAAATTAAAATTTATTACACAGAACCCAATTCCACTGCCATCGATGCTCTTTCTGCATTTTAACAAGTGTAACTTCTCCTACCATCTTGTGTTACTTAAGCTATCATTTGTGCCTTTTTTACAGATTGAATCTTCTAATTATCATGGAAATAAGCAAAAATAATCAGTATGAAGAAAAGCTGTTAAAATAAATAAATTCTGTTTGCAGGCCAATGCTGAGTCACAGAAGAATATTAAACGCTACCAGCAGCAACTAAAGGATGTACAGACTGCCTTAGAAGAAGAACAGCGCGCACGTGATGATGCTCGTGAGCTCCTTGGTATCTCAGAACGTCGTGCCAATGCCCTACAGAATGAACTGGAGGAGTCTCGCACACTACTGGAGCAGGCAGACCGAGGACGGCGACAGGCTGAACAGGAACTGAGCGATGCCCATGAGCAACTGAATGAGCTCTCTGCCCAGAACACATCAATCTCAGCTGCCAAGAGGAAACTTGAATCTGAACTACAGACCCTACACGTGAGTCATTCACATTGCTTCCTTTGTTTCTGGAGTTTTCAGATTCTAATTCCCAAATTACTGCAGTAGGGGTCTTTTACATTATCAGTTTGTTCTTTTGTCTTCATTATTGTCATTATCATCATTCAAAATTTGTCCTGTAATCTTTTATGAATACCCTTTTGAACTATCTTAATTCTGTTGAACCTGCTTCATGTTTTCCAGTTGGTATAAGTGAATATGTAGCTTTAGCTATCCATGTACTCCCATTATTTCCTTATTCCCATAAAACAGGATTTAATTTTCTGTTCTCTGAGTAGTGTTTGCTTTGATACCCACTCTTTCTTGCTTTTAATTTTGTATCCGATTCCAAGTATACTTAAGCTTAAACATTTCCCAAATGCATCTCAGCTGATTATTACTTTTATCATTATCATATTTTATTTTGTGAAATTTAAATTCATGAATGTATTTTCAAATGCACACCCAAAATTTCTTAAATACTTTATGCCGTAACTAGCATAAACATGTTTCATCATCACGGTTACTATAAAATATATGAAGGTTACATACTGACCATTATCACGGTCCCAGAGTTATTTTGTTGGAGGAAGAGAATATGAAAGAAAATGATTTTGACTCAAACCCAAGGATGTAACAGCAAAACTAATAATTTTCCTTAGGTTATCTCTCCAAGAAGAACATCTCCTTTACCATTTTTTTTTTATATGACAAACCATCTAAGACAACCAAGATGGCTGGAAGAACAGAGAGAAAGATTGACAGATATTTACCTATTATAAATGTGTGGATAGATAATATGAAACAAATTCTATAAAACCATTATTTTCATATCTTCATTTGCAGTCTGACCTGGATGAGCTGTTGAATGAGGCCAAGAATTCTGAAGAAAAGGCAAAGAAGGCCATGGTTGATGCAGCGAGATTGGCTGATGAGCTCCGAGCAGAACAGGATCATGCACAAACACAAGAAAAGCTACGCAAGGCACTTGAGACACAGATCAAGGAGCTCCAGGTATGTGTTATCAGTTTTTTCTGTCACTCCAAGCCTATGTTTCATGAACCACCAACATTCCAGACAATATCATTAAATAACCTAGTAATCAAGGAATAAAGCCATGAAAGTTACATGTCTGTTATGCTATAATTTTATTGATTATAGTTCAATACAACTGAAACACTCCTGTATCATAGTACAATGTTGATATATTAATATGCATTTTTAGTTGGTTATTTAACCATACTGTCAGTATTGAGACTCTGTAGTGTAGGATAATAGGTTGACTGATGATTTGGAAAGGATCTGGAAGAAAATGGTCATGTCACAGTTGAGGTAAAACCACAGTATTTGCTGGAAGGACTGAGGAAAACCATGAAGAACCTCAGTCAGGATAGCAAGTACCTCCTGAGTACAAGTCTCAGTTGTTACCACTAAAACAACCTCTTCAGCACAGATGTGCTGATGGAATGAATTATTAATATTTGACAGGCAACCACCAAAGAATTGTTAGAATTGAAAACAATGAAAACTACTTCCAGATTAACTTAATCACCACTATCAAATACCAGAAGGCCAGAATCTTCTTCCTCCTTGCAGAACTGTAACTATTCATCATATATAATAATTCTGACACGGACAGTATTGTTAAAAAACTTAATAATCAATCAATTTAGAATGAAACGAAACTTCTAAATTTAAAGGAGTATTTCTTTAAAAATTCAGTTCTGCTAATCCAATTAACACTTATCCGATATATGAAGGCAGATATTTCAGTAGACCATTTAGTGGAAAATGTCTGAAAACCAAGCTACGCATTGATATTAGTGGATGAGTTTTTATATTTCCCAAAAAATAGTAGATAGAATATTAGCTTACTGTACATCAAAAAGATACATAGAATTGCATGTTCAGTGAAAGGAATTTTCTGAAATAATTACAGATGTCAATAAAAATGGTCTCAAGTAGCATTCCACTATTTGGACTAGTTCTATCTTTGGAGTAAATTGCTATTTGAACGTCCTGTAGGTGCGTCTAGATGAGGCTGAGAGTAATGCACTCAAGGGAGGTAAAAAGGCAATTCAGAAACTGGAACAGCGTGTTCGTGAGCTGGAGAATGAGCTGGATGGTGAGCAGCGAAGACATGCTGATGCACAGAAGAACCTACGCAAGTCAGAACGGCGCATCAAGGAGTTGAGCTTCCAGGGAGAAGAAGACCGTAAGAACCATGAACGTATGCAAGACTTGGTTGACAAGCTGCAGCAGAAGATCAAGACATACAAGAGGCAGATTGAAGAGGCTGTAAGTATCATTCTCATTGCAATAATTAATAACATGTTTGGAAATTTTCTTTTGAAAAACAACTTTCCATTTCTTCTGTCCCATAAATCATTTGTGTAAAATGATGCCACTTTTTCTTGAATTATACAATTTAGCATATGTTGTGTCATGTAAAAAATATGTGATATGATAATGATTTGCAGAATTGATTACTGTAAATTTTACTTTACATAAGCATGAAGCTATACAGAAAATGCGCACTAAAATAAAGAACACTTTATGCAAGGAAATTGTAATGAAAGTTAAATAATTCTTTGCAGATAATATGAGTATTAAATACTTGTTAATTCTAGCAAATGTGTCTAAACATAAACTATTATGATCTACTCTAACTTTGACATTAATATAATTTATATATTTACTTCACAAACATGACTATGAATACATCTATTTAAAATATTGAAAACAGTATTGGAGTCAAAGCTCCCACTTTCAAGCCACAACTTAAGCCACAACTTTTAATAAAACGCAATCAAAAATACAATAATGTGAATTTTCCAGAATATATGTAGCTAAAAAGTGGAAGTAAAGAGAAAAATAATAATCTGTTTTTCTCATAAGGATAAATCATAAGATGATGAGTTCTGAAGATTCAAAACTGAAAGATATCAGAATTAGTTTCTTTCCCATTTTCTGACATTTTTGGATCCAAAATTCCTTTTGTGTTATTGTTAAACTCATCAGAGTATTTATGCAATTATACCTGCCTGCAAAAATGCTTCAGTAACTCAGGATTTTGCCAACATTTTACTGTGAGTTTCATTCAAGTCTCACAGTCAGCAGCAATTGTCTTCCTAAACATGATTAACTACTAGGTTAATGGTAGTGTAGTAAGTTTCCAAGTGGTTAGTCGCTGGCTTCCCACTGCGGCAGCCCGGGTTCAATCCCGGGTCTGGTCAAGTGGGATTTGTGGTGGACAAAATAGCGCTGGAGCAGGTTTCCTCCAAGTATTTTGGTTTCTCCTGCCAATCTTCATTCCACCAACTGCTCCACAATCACCCTCACCTATCATCTGGGGCTGGTACAATTGGCCAGAAATGGCCACAATACAAGGGACTTAGTTCCACCACACTAGTAATAAAAAAAAAGTTTCAACATTGTTAAAACCAAACTTTTGAAAGTAATTTAAATAAAATTCACACTTTCAAAACAGTAGTGCTTTACAATTCAAGATAACTTACCATTTGCACATTTTTGCTTCCAGGAGGAGATTGCAGCCCTGAATCTGGCCAAGTTCCGCAAGGCACAACAGGAATTAGAAGAGGCTGAGGAACGTGCTGACCTGGCTGAGCAGGCGATTTCAAAGTTCCGTGCGAAGGGACGATCAGGATCTGCGGCACGGGCATTGAGTCCAGTGGTTAGTAGATATGCCTGAAATTTAAAGCTAATCATGACATACATAAAAGCAAAATTCCATTCCTCACATGATGGTTCAGGTTATCTGTCGTAGCTAGAACTCAGTTTAGATGCTCAGAAACTATCAGTGTCAGTGTGCTGCTTCACCAGTTGGATCAGTTGTTAATGTATCAATCAGAGGGGTTGCAGAAGGAAAGAAACAGCCTTTCCCTGCACCAACAGGAAGCAGTCTGTTACCTCTGTGGCATGCATAATGGAGTTCTACCTGGAACAGACAAACTGTAAATAGCAAAAAGTCCGACACTGTGAAGTTTATGAACTGAACACTATGACAGTTTTTATGCCTTTGACAAAATTCAATCTAAGTTTCCAAAATATTTAACATCGTAAATTAAATGTCTCCTCAGTTCACATGTATTAACTGAAAACATAATTAATGCTTGTTCATAAAGTTTCCAAATGAAAGGAAGGAAAAATGTCATATTAAAAAGCCATCAGATACCAAAGAATTGTCTTATATTTGAAATTATTATCCAAAATTTCTTGTTTAAAACAATGATCGGACTAAGAGATTTATTTCTTTTCTGTCCTTTGTGCAGCCTCAGGCAAAGCCCCGCAAGGTTCCAGTGGAGTAAACCACATTACTTCTCTTGTAAGTCGTGCGTGCCCCCAATTTGAATGCTGAGTGATTCCAAAGATCCAATTCCCTCAGTAGTGTCAGAAAGATTTTGAAACGTTACCCATAAATCCATTTAGGACATAGCACTCTTCCAATCCACCCTTAGATGCCCTTGTTGATGTGTACAGTACCTACATTGTCTGTGTTCACAGCTTTGCACTAAACGACAAGTTTATCCAATTGTTTTCTAGAAGGCAAACTGAAGAGTTAGTTACAGTGATATTACATCATCATCATCAGTAATCTGTCACACGACAGGTCCACAGTCTCTTCCAAAACAGTTTCTCCACTTAATGCGATCTTCTGTTTTTGGAAAGAGACTATCCAGGAAAAGTGATAATGTGGTAGTTTTTCCATTTGCTTTCCACATCGCAGTACAACAGCCGTTCAAACCACTCTGGTCACGCCTGTTGCTATACGAACTTGAACCACCTCGAGCATCATTTGCTCTGTGCTTCAAGTCGCTGCTGATGACGCTGCTTCCGACATCAGTTACAGTGATATTACAACATGTTAAATATTTAATACCATAGAAATCCTGATTCAGTAATGGAAATTCCAGGACAAATTATTAGGTTACAAAACTGTATCTGAATTTCCTTCTAATGTCCATGTGTTCTCACAATTAAAATATATTTCACACATCGTGTAATTTAAAATTCCTCTACTTGAATTAAGAAAACAGTGAAAATTCTCAAGATCATTCTAAGGCCAAAATTAATCATGGGTATTAAATTTTGACCTAAAGCATTAATAGTAAGAAATTTTCTTAATTTATTTAATTTTGAATTAAGTTTTCAGGATTCTAATTGGCATATTGTTTACCTACAAAAACAACAATTTTACTCGTCCTTTTCTGAAAGTAGCATTTTCATGTTGTTCAAAAACCTGTCCATGATCTACCTGCTAGACACAGGCATACCTTATAGTGTACAGAATGGCATGGTGTTTGCTGTTTCAGAAGGTCCCTTGTGTCTATGTACCTTACCTTAATTCCTGAGTTGCTTACTTTGGGTGCAGTGTTTGTATATATACATATATTTGAACAATTATATTAGTAGGCAGCATCATAAAGATGCTTTCTTATCACTGCCATTTTAGTTACAATGCTTGTTACTGTGCTGGTGGATTTTCAATTTTGTGTTTTATCACATGTACAGGTATGAGACATTAATTTCAAGAGAAACAGCATTCATGCATAAATCATATATACAAGATTTTGTACTTATGTTACAAGTAACTTAATTGTACAGATTGTAAAACATATTATCTATGTCATCACTAACGTTCTATTTCTAAATTAATTAAATATTCAGTTTCTGTAACAGGAATCTTCAATCATATGACATGCAGGTAATGACTCAAGGACACTATACTCATATACTTTACCCCAGAGGCCACTGTGTGTGGATATACCATTTTACTCTCATTGTCAGGTGAAGAATGTAATAGTGTAATATAAATCCTTACTCCTATGGTGTAGATCAGTATAGGTATGTAGACTGTAAAACTGAAAGGTCTTTCATGACTTTAGAATCTTGTGCATATGGGCAGAATAGGTAGGAATTGATATTCTTTGAAAAGTCTGCACTTTTTTAGATGAAAGTTTAAATCAACTGTATGATATATTTTTCCCTAATTAAACATTCATGAAGTAGGCCAGATAAAACAAATTCCACATAATATTTAACTTTATCTCTAGGCATGCTTTCATGCAATATTTGTTTCATATAACATGACAGCGAAATGCAGCAAACATATGGGTTTCATTTACATTAGTGAACTGCAGCTAAAATAGCCATGGTCCTTCAAGTGATGGAAATATTTCACAGTGTTAAGTTTCCTTAACATTTTACACCTTATTTTTCTTTAAATATTTTTATCTTAATTTTCACATATTTAAGTAACTTGTGTACCTATTCATATGAATCGAAAACCATAATTTTCTTCAGTCATTTATCACTGCATGGATGTATGACCTAATCATAAGGTAAATGCTTTCCTTCCAGGACTACTGACCACATTGCAGTGATAATCTTATTTATGGCTATGGTGGTGGATATTTGAGAATAGAATTTACAGATCATTATATTGCTGCGGGTTGTTTTAGCTTATAAACAGAGGGACCACAGCATAGTGTTGCTAAATCTTTCATTATTCATATTATGGCCACAACACTCAATTTAAAATATTTTGATAAGTTAAGGAAACTAATTTCTGTTTTCCATAGAAATATGGTTACATGTAATATTATTTGTGTCATTTTTACTGGCACACAGATATTACTGTTCAGTCAGTTTCACTAAAATATTGTTTAATATCATCCTCTTCTCTACACCTTGAATTAAATTCAACTCTTCCTGTTTACATAATTTAGATTAAAAAATAGACTAAAATAAACAGATCTATAAATCCAATCTTGGCATTCTATATACCCCTTTTTTATATCTCAAAAATATTGTGTCATAAATAATTCCAAATTGCCCAGTTATTAGGGAGACTTGTGAACTGACATGATCTACACAGTATTAACCCATAGAAATAATCAGCTTCTTGTGGTTTGTTTTGATATGTCACCTATGAGCCAGTTTTCAGAATATGTTTTTGATATAGGTACATAGCTTATATCTGAACCAAGAGATTATTGCATTATGAAAATTCTTAAACATTTTACTCCTCTTTACATACTCCTTTCATCATGTGCAGCATGAGATTCATACATTTTTTATTGCTAGTGGGGTGGGACTAAGTCCCTTGTACTGCTGCCACTTCTGGCCTATTGTACCAGCCCCAGATGATAGGTAAGGGTGATTGTGGAGCAATTGGTGGAATGAAGATTGGCAGGGGAAACCTAAGCACTTGGAGACAACCTGCCCCAGCGCCACTTTGTCCACCACAAATCCCACTTGACCAGACCCGGGATCGAACCCTGGCCACTGCGGTGGGAAGCCAGTGACTAACCGCTTGAGCTATGGCACAGCCATGGATTCACATTTACTTATGAGACAACAAAATCATATGTTTAAGTAAACTGGTCATATGACAAATATTTACACAGAAGATTCTCAAGCTATTTTCATCAGTAGCACAGACATCAGAATTAATGCAAATTAAGGTGTCATTCCTCCAACAGTGAGATTACTTTGCACAGTCTAAAAAGATCCGCATTCATATGCTGCCACAAATCTAAGTATTGAACCTACTGACATGCAAGGAAAGAATAAATTATACACAAGTTGGTCCATGGCCAAGGGCCCTGCAGTTTATGGGGCCTCATGTAAGGTGGGCATGCAACTTGTCTAGCATAAGAGGGTGAAAGGCCCCTAAGGCTTTCAGGTGCAACAAAAATAATGTGTTTTCCTCACCTGTCTTCATTGGTTCTAATAAATAATAAAGCATTTAAGACATACCTACACCCTACCACATTCTTCAGTGCCCTGGGGACTGGTTTATGGCACTGCAATCTCTTAAACTGTCTTTGCTGACATATCTGACATAACTGAAGGTTAACTCATCAAACTTCATAGGATATTATGTTCTCACGGCAATTGTTATGAAGAGTCCTATCTTCTGGGATATATGGTGTTATATCCCAGAAAACAGGAATCAGCAAACTTTAGCTTGAGAAGAACAGCTGTATTATCCACATATATGTATTGTGCAATACTGAAATGTCTCTTGTTTGCAGCCCCACAAACCTTCACTTTCTTATGAGATAATTCCTTGTACATTTAGAGTTTATTAGTGCATGTGAACAGTTAATTAGGCTGTATGGTCATGTAATTTAACTTTGCAGTACTGATGCTACTGTTTCTTATTGCAGCATCACAAACCAGCGCCCAGGCCGCAACTTGATGGCAGCGTCTTCCCGCCACGATTTGATCTGCACCCGGAAGGCGATTTCTAAACCATTATTAACAACCCATGATTGTAAAAAATAAAAATTGCTACAGACGGACATGAACATAAATGAGCCTATTTTGCGGCGCCTCTTCCAGCATATGATAACTGGAAAAGAAAAGAAAATATATTCAGAGGAATACAATTTAAATAATGTAATAACAGCACATTTATTTTGTAATTTATTTTATTGTCGATGAATGTATTTATTAAATAATAATATTCCAAGTACTGCCCTTGGTGACAGTGGTGCGTGTGAAAGGGAGCCAGAGGGTTGTGAATGCCATTCTGAGACACGTAAATGATCAACAGCCCTATGCATTATTCTTCGTTCGGTCACAGGTCTCTGGCTCAGTCAGAAGAGAGCGTGGATGCGATGCAATCGTGGCTCACATTGTATGCACGTCTTCTTTAAATGCACCAATAAAGAAGTTCATATCGTTATTGTAGCTATCATCTTATTTTATTGACATTCTTACTCACATATGACATCTCTCCTAGAATTTTATGTATTACATTTATTCCTACATCTTACCTCTGACATCTCTCCTGTATTCCAGGTTGCACTTGTGTATGAAGTGGAGAATTTAGATCTCCAAGTAACAACACCCATCAAATGCCTTGGGAATGGTACATAAATTGTGGTTACATAGTTAGCATGTCTGCTCTGTACAGTGGAGTTTTTCATGGTTTTTCTGTTTCTCCTGGAAGTTCTTAAGATATTAGTTTAAATTAGATTGCAGCAGTTTCCTTTTAGATCCTTTCCAATTCTTCATTTGCAATTATCCTACCATTCAACCCTGTGACATATGTAGTTAAAAAGCATATTTAAATGCCTCAAGAATAATCAATGCTGGATAGAAATAGGGCTTGTTGGTTTCATTCCCAGAAATATTTTGTGAATGATTCTAAGTAAGATCAGTTAATACTCAAGGATTCAGCCCAAGAAAATGTCATAAGACACTTGTCTGTGAAACATGAACTGTGGGCTTATATCTGCTACATGTTTATATTTCTTAAGTATTACAACATATCTGTCTAACCAGGGTTTAATTTTTAGCAGGGGCAAGACTTTAACTTTGCCGCCATGTCTCAACTGACAGTGGCCCACCCAGAATTCTCTGAAAAGGGTACCAGGCAGTCTTTCCCCTAACTACCTAATCCCTTCCTTGAGCCAAGGTTAGGTGAGTACAACTACATCTCCACTCCCACATATACTGAGCTGAGTATTTCAAAGAAGAATGGATGAGTACTGTAAAATGTTGGGAAACATGAATTCTAAGCAAAATAACAGTAAAAATATTCTCAATAAAACTAATGCAGTATATTAATATAGTTTCATAATCCTTCATAATAGTGTACACAGATTACATTTATGTCAACCATTCATACCAACTGCCATCTGACGAGAAAATTATTATTAATTCAGTGTTTTAAGGTTGATTTGTACGCCGTTGTAATAAACATTAACCCAATATGTTTGAATTTCCCACTGGCGTATAAATACCAACATTATGTTGAAAGTAGAAACAACCAAATTTTTACGCATTTGCAATGGAATACGTCACTAACCGTCACTAAGGTCAATAACTGTGGGGATGAGGCACGCAGGGTCGTTCCCACGCACCTCTGGCGTAAGTTCAAATCAGCTGTTAGCTGATGTATTTGTTGATGTTCTGCATGCGGAATTATCAGCTGTTTTTATCAGAACAGAATGAGGTGTAGATCCTAACATACATGAAATAACTGTGAGTCACATGGTCAGTGGAACGATGTTTTTTATCAATGCATGATTCACAATGCTGGTATTATCAAGGACGCTGACAGTGAGTTTTGTTCAGGAATTCAAATGATTCGTAGCAGGTGAATGGGGGTGGTGTGCATTGTCCTGTGTCTTTGGCAAAGTGAGAATCGTGAGAATGTCATTTCTGGGAGGCAGAAGTGCAAGCGAGAGAGAAATGGGATTAAGTCATGACGAGGATTTATTGATTTTACCACAAGCATCTGAACCAAGACCTGGTAAGTGTTTTTGAAAGTACTTCGTAAACGTTAATTGATCCGTCATTATAACAGTGTAGCATTGCTATGATGGGCAGCTTCTGTTACGCTATTTATCCAGGTCGTATTTATTGTGTTTTGAAGTAAAAAACCTTGAAAATATGCAGTGTTTCTATTTCGGGGGTGGTATTTTACGACCTTGCCAGTAGCTAGCGGTAGCGAGGTAGCGAGACTGTGGTGTTGAATGGTAAGATGGTGGATGAATAATGAATTGGGAAGGATTTGAAAGGAAACGTTCGTGGATTAATAGAGGTACTATCCCGTCATTTGCCTGGGGGGACTGAGAAAAACCACTAAAACCCTTAGGATTGCCGATGCCCGCCCGAGATTCAAACCGTGTACCTCCCAAATATGAATCCGGAGTGTTGCCACCCTGTTTAGGGCACAGGGTATTTGTAGATTTAGGGACTTCCACTATAACGAAAATAGTTTGTTTACCAGTACATTAAACAAAGGACAACTGGAAAAAATTACATAAACCATATTAAAAATTAATGTTATGGCGAGGAATTACAATTTTTCTTTTTTCCGTGATGAAAGTACAATTCATCAAAGAAGAGGATATTGTCAGCTGGGCCTGAGGAGGTTCTTAGACTTACCACTTTAGTAATATTACAAAGATTTCCTGAAGCTTTACGACCTATCCAATTTTGTAAAATATCTTTCCTACTTTTGTCTATTCCATTTCATTTATATGGTTGACTATGGCAGTGTATAATGAGCACTCTTTCTGTGCTGGCACAAATATGATACAAAAAATATTACTGGTTGTACAATCAGAACTGAAGACGTGTACATACAATCACCTATACTAAAGTAAAGTTTTAAATATTGTCATGTGTCAGGGGTTAACATGTGATGAAAATAACAGATTCTAGTTCAGACGATTCGATTTATTAGCACCTTGGTTACAAGTCCTCTTAATCACACTTAAATACAGCATTGTCGCTGATTTACACACTTTCCGGTTCACCGTTACACACACACTGGGATTGTCTGTCTTCACTAGTCATCTCCTGGTAGTGGATCTGAACACAGAAACTAGCACTTCAAATCACTATGAAGTCTTCTTGCCATTTCGTCTTCAATCACTCTGGAACCTTGGAACTAAAAATTCTTCTGGACTCGCTCCTCCAGGTTATGACTGACTCATAACTGCCCTGAACGAATCCTGTCACTCTTATATAGGTGTGGAACGGATGTGAACCTACAGTAAACACACATCATGTGATTGCTATCCAGCCAGTCTATTGGTGCGGCAGTCAGACCTACAGAAAGCCCCACTTCCTCAATTGTTACATGTTGGATTGTGTTTACAAAGCTGTTGTCTGGCAACATGTTGATCAAATCTGTTTCAATATAATGTATATTTTGCAGATGGAAAGAGCATTTTAAGTAAAGTTTCCTTTCATTTTTTGTATATGTGCCTCTCAGTCCTGTTGTCTGTCAAACAGTGCTGTTAAACAGATTAAGAAGGTGAATAGCATGAATGATTTGATTATTTGTTTCATAATCACCTTTTACAGGATACTTGGCTCTCACTGTTTAAATGTAAAACAAAATCTTATTTAAGCAGGTTATATCCTGGACATAGCATATAATTTTATTTCATTGTTATCATTACTGATGTGACACACAGTGTATCCCATGATAAGGGCTTGAATTTAAATTCTTACTATGTGGATATCCAGATTTCAGGTTAGAGGTAAAGCCCCCGCCCCAACTTAAAATGCAGAGGATATAAGATGATGTAAAGTCCGGTCATGTCTGTCACATACCGTATCAGGACCAATCAGTGATTGTCTCTCCCAGAACGTAGTAATAAGGAAATCAAGTAGTTCTTTCCAAATATTTTCTGTTATGAAGGGTACTTTTTTTTGGGATGTGATGTCATTTCCCCCCATTCTGTCATTTGGCCTCTCTTAATGTTTTCATCTGCCCCCCCAAACCATGCTGATGTTGAAATAGACCCTTTAGGGCTGCCGTTTCCTTATTCCATCTTTCCTTACCTCCCTATACCACATACTTAACATTCATTATTTCTCCCATCCCTCTACCCTGGCAAAATTTCCCTTAAATAAATGAATGAACATATGAGGGGTGGGCCATAATAATCCGGCCCTTGCACCGTGATCTTCAATGATCCATTGTACTTTCCCTTTTGATTAACCCTTTATTAATCATACATTTCAAATGAGATGTAGGACTTTGTTTATGGGGCCATCATAGTAGTCGCTTGGTTCCATAAAGAACTGGCCCAGATGACAGAATCTTAAAATAAGCTATGGCCTCACAATCACATAGGATATGTGTGTGGCAAAATTTTCCTTACAAGGACCTGAGATTCTTGCTCATAAGTCTCGTAGCCTTACCACATCTCTGTAACCATACCACTTTTATTCATGCTCAGCATACTCATTTGCCCTGAAGATGGAGGCAATAAATTACTCTGAAATATCACTAAGTTCTGCCAGATTACAGGACATCACATCCAACTTGTATCGTAGGTGCCGCTGTAAGAACTTGAGGACTTCAAACTTCACATTTTTCATTATGATTTTTGTCATTCTCTGTGCTTTGACGTTAGTTTTTTTCAGTTCATGACATGAATAATTGCTTGTTTCCCTAATCTGTACTATTTCAATACTCATTATAACTGATTCAACACAATGGAAGAAAAGTTTGGAAGATTAGGCTGTCTGAATAAATACAGTGTTTACTAAGGAAATGGTGGTTAGAAATTTGACCTTTGTATTTGTTTCTGTGTAGAGTGTTCCAAGATAGTACAAATACACACACATGTGGCCTTTGTCTCTTGTGATAGTATTTATATATACATAACTGCGTAATACCCTTCCTCTAGGTCTTGACCCTGAAGATTTGAGATGCGGCAGAGATTGTCAGTTGCACAGTTTTTATTAAAAACAGTATGCATAGCTCAGGCAATTAGTAACCAGCTTCCCACTATGGCATTCCAGATCAGGTTATGTGGAATCTGTGGTGGACGAAGTGGCACTGAGCCAGGTTTTCTCTAAGTACTTTAGCTTCCCTGCCAATTCTCATTGAACCAGCTGCTCCACATTCGTTAATTATCCTATCATCAGTGCTACATAGTCTCAACACTGGAAGCAAGTTAGAAATTTTGAGAAAAACACAATTTAAGTCAGAAATCAAGTTGTGAACATTTAATAATTGGGTTTAATTTAAAGCTCAGGTGAATTGTATGTTATTCAATTTTATAAAGAGACCACAGGGAAGACCAAGGTGTAGGTGGGTGGACAATATTAAAATGGATCTTAGAGAGATAGGATGGGATGGTATGGATTGGATAGATCTGGCTCGGGATAGGGACCAGTGGAGGGCTCTTGTGAACACGGTAATGAACCTTCGGGTTCCATAAAATGCGGGGAAATTCTTGAGTAGCTGCAGAATTGGCGGCTCCTCCAGAAGGGCTCAGCTCCATGAGTAAGTAAGTAAAGATTCTTTTATCCCTTATAATGCTATGAGGGAGCCTGGGTAACTCAGCATAGTGACAAGGCTATAGGCTGGTCACCTAGAGAAGCAGGATTCAGTTCCCAGCAACAGTGGAGATTTTTCTCTTCCCGACAACACATACTAGTTTTGGGGCCCATTCTGTCTCTTTCCGCAAGAATAAAGCAGTCAGAGCATGAAGCTGAGTGCTCAGCTCAGTGCAAAGGCCAAGAATATGTGGAGCTGTATCTCTGTTCCTACATATGTCTTCATGGTGTGGTGCTTAAGTAATATCTTATGGTTCAGCTAGGATATCTCATGGGATGGATGGCCAGGCTTCAGTTCCTGGGAGGGTCAAGAGATTATTCTGTAGTGTACAGCATTTGGACTGGCTCTGGCACCCACCCAGCTGCCTGTCCACTGGGTACTGGAGGCTGTATCCTCAGGGGTAAAGTGGCTGGGATGTGAAGCTTACCATTCACCTCCATGTAGTACCGAAGTCAAGAATGGTGGAGCTGTATCTCTGTTGCCCAATATGTCCTCATAGCCAGAGACTTAATTAATTAAGCACAGGGGCAACTTTTACTGCCTCATCTAAGTTTTCAGTCCAAAATTTATTATCAGTGTAACACTAACCATTATGGTGCTTTATATGTGGGTGGTATTAATCTTGACATAGAAATTTGTTATTGTAAGGTTTTCATGGTTTTCCAGGGGTTGGTAATGGTAAATTACGTTACAAATGGTATGAACATTGTGTATAATAAAGACTCCTGCATTTGAAATTATAGAAATGAATACTTATCCTCTTCCAGACCATGCTGTCTACACAGTATATGCTAGCTGATGAAGTAACATCTAGACTCAGTTACGTAAGCTATGCTGATGTTGATATAATAAGTTTAAGTGAACATAAAGAGAGTAAAAAAAAATAAATGCAATCAAACATAGATGTGCCACAGAATGTCATATTGACTGATGTCATTTTTCTTGTGTTGACATTGCAGAATCATACTAGACCATCCTGACAGTGGTTTTATTTTGGCTTTCCTCATCCTCTCGAGGCAGTTCTAGGATTGTACCTTAAATTAGGCTACTGCCTTTTCCTTGCACATTGTCCCCAGTTCACTGTTCAGTATCATCTTATCATTTGACAGTGCATACTCTGAGTCAGTGATAGCAATGAGTACAGTTATGGGCTGGGTGGCCAGGGTTCAATTCCAGGCAGAGTAAGAAATTTTCCTCTTCTCCACAGTGTCCAGACCAGCTCAGGGGTTCACCTAGCCTCCTATCCAGTCGCTACTGGAGGTACTTTCCTCAGGGGTAAAGCATCAAGTGTGTGAAACTGATTACTCACTTCCATCCTGTCCTGAGAGTAAGAATCATTCATGATTCATGATTCATAATTAATTAAGTACAGGCACAGCTTTGTTTTTTTAAGAGATAAGTAATAAATACTTTGGTGGGACAACATTGTTGCCTGGAATTGCAACCATTTCTACTTATCTGTCTCTCCTGAACCCTAAATAGTGATGGGGTATGGGTTGGACTGCTGATGTTGAATTCCTGGCAGGGAAAGGGTTTTTGTCTTTTCCACAGGATTCAGACTGGCTCTGAGGCCCACCCAGTTTCCTGTCCAATGGTAGTTGGGGCAGGGTGGGGGGATAAAACAGCTGGGGCATGTAGCTGACTACTCACCTTCATCCAGTGCTGAGGTCGAATGGTGGAGTTGTATCTCCACTCCCCTATAGGTCTTCATGGCATAGAGCTTAATAAACCCCCTTTTTTTTTTTCAAGAATCTTATCTGAACCCTAAAATATACATAGCCAAGGGTGGTCACTTTTAAATCTTGTAAAATTGTAAAAGCAATTTCCTGTAGTGTGCTGTTTGTGTTTCAGTACAAGACATATCAGGATGTGTGAAGGCACGTTATGTGATGGCTCTGATGGGCTTCCTCGGGTTTGCCATTGTTTATGCAATGAGGGTAAACCTGTCTGTAGTTATTGTTGCTATGGTGAACAACACTGCCATCCCAAAAGCTAATGACTCTGACAGCACGGATGTCTGCGCTATGGAGTTCACAAATGAGACAGTTGTACAGGTGGGATTTAATTTTGTTACATTAATTTGATGTCATCGTTCATTCATGTTTCCACCTGGGTGAGTTATCTTGTGAACTAAATGTTATCCATTTTTCTTTGCTCTCCTGTAAATTTATTCTTCTTTTATATATGTCAGTTCCTTCTTTCCTCTTTTACTGATGTCTCATCATTCCTAGATATTTTTCCATTCATTGTGTCACATGTATTTAACATGAAGAGCTCTATCTTCTGAGATATAATACTGTGTAGTCTGTTCAGAGTGAACTGATTACACAATGTTATATAATAGAAGATAAAACTGTTCGTATTTTAATGTTGTTTAATTTATAGTTTTTCACATACAGCATATTCCTGCTTTATGGAATGGATAGCAATAATGGTTTTGAGTTTTTTTTTTGCTTATGGGAGGGGGGGTGGAGTCCAGGGTCCACTCGGAATATCAGCCACTGATTGGCCTATTGTACCTGCTCTGGGTGATTATGATAATGGAGAATCTGGTGGAATGAAGATTGGCAGGGGAAACCGAAGTACTCAGAGAAAATCTGCCCCAGCGCCACTTTGTCCACCACAAATCCCACTTGACCAGACCCGGGATTGAACCCGGGCTGCCGCTGTGGGAAGCCAATGACTAAATGCGTGAGCCGTAGCATGGCTAATGGTTTTGAGCTATAGTCAGGAGATGTCCAGTTTGAATCTTGGCCAGGACTCCAGCTATCCTTAGTTTTCCATAGTTTTCTTCAGTCCCTGTAGGCATATGCAGGATAGTACCTTAATTTAAGTCATAGCCAGTTCCTTCCACATCCTTTCCAATTCATTATTTACTATCATGCAATCACATAACACTGTAGGTCGGAGTTACAGACAGTGCAGTTAACTAAATTACAAGACTAAGGAAAGGACATGTGGCATATAGACCCGTTGCAAAGCGATGAATCTGTAAACAGCAACTGTTTCTGGCAATGGCTCAGTATACACATTCCCATTGCTAGGCATCAAATTCTTAATAATGCAAGAATTGGACTGCAACAGTAGAAGTGGGGTGTTTTCTGTGTGGTCTGTGCCAAGAAGTAGATAACCAACAAGGTGAAAGAAGACATAGAGAATATAAGAGGCTTAAACTTGGTGGTAGTCAAGCATATGACCGTTCAAATGACTAATCTGCCATTGTAGCATAAGATATGTAAGATAGGCACGATCTGCTCTGTAAAGCATGTACTGACAGAGGACTTGTGTGTAGTGCAAAAGGAAGAATTTTCAATAACATGTTATGTACGCAAAAATGTACACTTGATGAAAGACCAAGCATGTTCATAAGAGACAAACCCATCTTCTCATCAGAGAGGATGTTACATAAGGACTATTACAGTATGCATTCAATTGAAGAAAGCTCTGGTCGTGGGTCTCAAGGGGCTGGACACCAAGACAAACTGATTGGCAGTAAACCACCAGTCATAAAGTAACTTTGACACTAAGTAGTTAGCCAGTTCTGCTCAGCAGGCTGTAAAGAGAGGACTTGAGGATGTGACGTTGAAGAATCTGTGCTGTTAGAAGCCATTGCCATGGAACGGTTGGTAAAGACACAGCAGGATGTAAAAGGGCTTAGCGGGTGCTGTGATGATTTGTGAATTGTGGAGGTTGGCAGTGGCACAGTAATTGCTTGTAGTTCCAAGTCGTATGTATAAGTGGGCAATAAATCCAATCCAAAAACCCCATCTATAGTCACTCAAAATCATGACAATATTATCTGTAAACAAATCTGAATAATTTTGTATGATTGTTCCTTTATTTAGTAAACAGTGCATTCAGCTTAAATTTAATATTTCATGATTTGCAGAAAATCTTAATTTTTGTGTTCATGTGTATCCCTTGTTCATACAGTAGCATCTGTGATGTTTTGAATTCAAAGATCCATCTGCATTTTGAGTAATTTTATCAGAAATATGCATTCTTGACATTCATGGTCATCTTAATTTCCATGAATATGTTTCTTCTTGGTTTTTTAATTTTTGAGTTATAATTATGGGCTTCTGAGACATGATGTTGTGCAGTTTGGAAGATGCTTACCAACATTCTGCAGGGACCTCCTATTTCTATTTTCAGGGTCTACCCTGAAAAAGGCAACAGATTCCTTCAAAATGTTAGTACCTATATCTACCAGACTACACAATATCACATTGCAGAAGATTATAATGTTAATATTCACTGTTTTGAGAATGTAAAAAATTAAATATTTTTGTTACTTGGATGTTATTAGGCCTGTGTTATAGAAAACCAATGTACGCACCTTAGTAATGAGTCCTCTCTGTTCTCTTGCAGCCGGAGGGAGAATTTGTATGGGATGAAAGTGTCCAAGGTATAATTCTTGGTTCCTTCTTTTATGGATATGTTGTGACTCAAATCCCAGGAGGACGACTTGCAGAACTTTATGGAGGGAAATTAGTGTTTGGTCTTGGTGTTTTGATCACTGGCATTCTCACTACCTTAAGCCCTCTGGCAGCTAAGCTAGGAACATCTTTTTTTATTGTTATTCGCGTCTTGGAAGGACTTGGTGAGGTAAGACATGCAATAGAAAAGAATGCCGTATTACTTCAAATATAAGACAAATTCTGCACATTTTCCCTGGTGAAATATTGAGGCTCATCTTAAATTCAAGGAATTATTTACCAGTTTGCAAATTATCCATGGAGTAGCCTGAAAAGAACCTATCATAAACACACTCAGAGTGTTATGAAGCCACATCCACCCCCACCTTTAACTGGGAGTCAACCCACAACTTTCAGTTCAGTCATTACCCAAGATTCTTATCATTCAGGTGTGTTCAGTTTCCTATCAGATTTTACCCATGGAAAAACGTTTTACTTATGATGCCACCTTCAAAAGAAAAGTTATTCTGTGTGCTGAAAATATAGGTAATCATGCAGCAGGTAGGAAGTATACAGTAAGTGAGGCATGTGTACACCATTGGCAAAGTATAAAAACAAGACTGTTTTCATGTCTGACAAATAGAAAGTCTTTTTCTGGATCAAGGAAAGGGAGAAATCCGTAGATTGATGCCCCAATTTCTTTGGGTATATCAAACATTCATGAAATAAAGGATTGCCTGTAACTACATTTACTGTTTAAATTAAGCAGCAGCATGTCCATGCTCTGTATTTCTGTGTGGCCCGTGCATTTGTTAACAATAGTTTGTTTATCCCTACATATATTTGTTTTTAATTTTTTGTTTAATATATTGTCGCATGTTTCAGGGTGTTACATTTCCATCCATGCATGTGATGTTGGCTCGTTGGATACCCCCATCAGAAAGAAGCAAGTTTTCTGCCTATGTGTATGCAGGTAAGTAACAGGCTAAACATGTTGGAAGGTAAATAAAGAACATAATTTTTTTTTAATTCGCTTAGTTGGGGGGGGGGGGGAGTCCAACTGGGTCCACTCAGCACAGTGACCACTGATTGGCCTATTGTAGCCTGCCCTGGGTGATTATGATGATGGAGAATTTGGTGGAATCAAGATTGGCAGAGGAAACTGAAGCACTCGGAGAAAACCCACCCCAGCGCTACTTTGTCTATCACAAATCCCCACTTGACCAGACCCGAGATCGAACCCAGGCCGCCGCAGTGGGAAGCGAGCGACTAACCACTTGAGCTATGGCGTGGCCATTATAAAGTACATAACCATCATAAGTTAGTAATATATATTTGTGTGTGTGTGTGTCTCATAATTAGTAATTCTCGGATATATCAAATTTACTCAGTACCACATAATGTGTGATTTCCAATGGTGAACATATTTTTCTTTTTAATAAAGATTTTTATTATAATAAATGATATTGTCATAATTACAATTTGCTGTAGCTTGAAAAATTTAAAGGTGTGAAAGTTGGTCCTTGCATGCCGAGAAGGTTCATTTTGGTTATATTGAGAAATATTATAAAAAAAAAAGGTGTGAGTAACAAGTAAATTGAAGTCCCCATTTAATAATTATCATTTTAAGATTTTCTCTCATTTTCAGTGGACTCTACCCACTCATCTAAGTGTTAAATTCTTTCTGTTAAGGGTTTTCCTCAGTTCACGTCCCTTGATGAGTAGATAAACTTAAATGGGTTTTCATTGTAATGTAAAAGAAAGATATCTCAGATTTAGTTTAATGTTTTGTATATTTTGATAAAAACAGGATTTACAGTCTTTTATGTGTGTGAGTGGCATCTGCATTTTTGGAACCGAGCCAGGTACATGAATCCTTTAGAGCACCATTTGTAATATTTATACCATCCCTCTGTAAAATTAAAACACTTCACAATTTATGCGCAGAGTGAATTTATGTATTTCATATCATTCTCAGAGTGAACCGCTCTTACTTCCCTAATAAACCCTAATTGATTGGTCGTTATGATGGAGATGCAGTATGTGTTTTATGTGGTACAAAATGTATGTTTAAATATGAGATGAATTTCAGGCTTTGGAAAGGTAACTACATAATAAGTGAACATGATGTCCAAGGTATTCCATGGTGCAGGATCTTCATGAACATTTGAAAGTTACTCACATGGTCAAGAATTCCTTGTCTTTTTTCACGGAGCCAGAAGATAATTAACATATTCTCATAATCTTGGTTTCCCAAATGTTTCTGTCTCTTATAAATTAAATTTGAAATGACTGAAGATCTGAGGAAACTAGTTAAATAAAGATGTCATTCAGTCCTGAAAATTTAATGATTTGCAGTTAACTGTTACTAAGGATGATATATAAGGGCCGCGCCATAGCTGAAGCGGTTAGTCATTGGCTTCCCACCGTGGCAGACCGGGTTCGATCCCGGATCTGGTCAAGAGGGATTTGTGGTGGACAAAGTGGTGTTGGGGCAGGTTTTCTCTGAGTACTTTGGTTTCCCCTGCCAATCTTCATTCCACCAATTGCTCCACAATCACACTCACCTATCATCTGGGGCTGGTACAGTAGGCCAGAAGTGACCGCAGTACAAGGGCCTTAGTCCCACCCCACTAGCAAAAAAAAAAAGGATGATACATAGTATTTCTGTATTAAGTACTATCCAGTTTATGTTCTTTGTTTCAGGTTCAAATTTTGGAACAATAATATCAATGCCTTTATCGGGTTATTTATGTTCCCTGGAGTTCCTAGGAGGGTGGCCACTGTCATTTTATATATTTGGAGGTCTTGGAGTTGTTTGGTTTATGGTATGGCTGTTTGTAGTGTATGATACACCAGCTTTACATCCCTATATCTCAATTCAAGAGAAGAACCATATAATTTCACAAGTTGGAGATAATCACTTGGTTAGTACTTTTCATAGTAAATGTTCCTTTACTTTGAATGGCCAGTTCCTTTTTAGAGTATGATGTTGGTCAGTATATTAGCTTCTTTGTCACTTTCATGTTTCCACTTCAGGGTTTTTATTTATTTATTTATATATATATATATACACAGATAATACTTGTGACTGTGATTACATTAAAGTCAAGCCTGTCATGGATTCCACATTAAGTTATTGATCACCTCTGTCATTATCTACATCTTCATTATCATCTTATTAATGGGCAAATTGAAATATTAATTTTTCTGTTTAAAAATAGGAATTGCCAGTTTACTTTTGCAATATGGGCAGAGATAGATTGATCAAACACCATACCTTGTGGCATAACATTTTAAAACACAGTTGAATTAGGTTTGTGATGATGACAACAGAAAAAGAATATATATATATATATATATACACCAGTGTATACCCCAGTTTGGATAATACATAATTTGCCTCCCTCCCCCAATTATTGCTAATATAAATTTAATATTTACAGGTCTAATAAATAGTAAAACCACACCACAAAGTCATGATTATCAACATTACACATCCTATGTTACATTGACTACCTGTTCTATATTTTGTAAAATATAGATCATCATTAATTCCTCCTCTCGGCTTCTGTGAATTGTTTCTGCTGTTTATTTGATTTCTGTCATAATTGAGTAATACATGAGAAATGAAAATGCATATAGTGCAAAATCATAAGAAAGGAGGCCATATATTTTTACATTATGAGTCATGCACTGTCTTAATTAATATATTTTCAGGAAGAAGGCAGAAGCATACCTTGGAAGTCAATCTTGACATGCGTTCCATTATGGGCTATACTGGTGACTCAGTGTGGTATGTCTTGGATATTTTATACACAACTGACAGAGTTGCCAACCTATATGAAGAATGTTCTACAATTTGACATCACACAAGTAAGTATTCATAGTTCATGTGCCAAGATTTGGGAGGTCCATGTCAGTTCCAGTACAAATTAATTACTAAAGCTCTCACTTCCTTCAGAAGGATGCTAGATAATGCCACAGTGTCGGCAGTGACTACTCTGCATAACATTTATTTACATGTTCGTAACCCTTGTATATACCTCTTGAAGGGAATGGTGACCTGGTGAGATCTGTGACATATTGTATTGCAATACAATGCATGCAGTCACAAGGGAAGGACATAACACAGAACACAATATACACAAGAATATAGGAAGAGTACTCCCATAGGAGAGGATTGACATAACTCGCGAGTTTGAAGTGCAACATATAGATGATAAATCTTGAAAAGTTTTAATATATAAAGTTTATTATTATACATGACATATATACATTTTAATCATTTTATAAAGGAGACATGATGGCATACAGTGCAATGGTTTGACGTAAATAAAACCACACCTGAAGATGGCACATTAGTGCTGAAACATGTAGTGAAGAGAAAAGTGAAATTGTATGCACTGTAAGACGGTTGGTACAAATACAGATCATGAACACTGAAGTAACAGTATTATAATTAATCATATTGTTAATTGTGTTATTATTTTTGTAATTTATAATAATTATTAATTGGTACTTTTATTACTTTAATAGATTATTACTAAATTTGTGTTGAAAGGCCACAGATAGCTTCAGTTCTTTCACTGATCTGGTCAAAAATGACGTATATTCAGAAAGGTTAGTATTTTGAAGTGAGGTATCGCATACAAAACATATAAAGGGTTAATCTTGTTTTTACAAAGAATGTGTTAACATTGTGTTTTACAGTATGTTTGCATTGTGTTATGTATATTTGTTTATGGAAGAACATACACTTACTTTCATATCTGTGAAATGTTGTAGTTTTAAAATTTTGTTTCAGGACAGTATGCTGTCTACGTTGCCATATATAACCAGCTGGCTGTTTGGAATAGGATTTAGCCATATTGCCGACTGGCTGGTCTTAAAGGGCTATCTGTCTGTCCTTAATTCCTATAAAACATTCAATTCTATAGGTATGTAAAGTTAATTTTCTGGGATCCCAAAGTCTACTTCAGTCTCTTGATCCCCAAATTTCATCATCTAAGGAAAGGAATGGTGTTTAGCCCTGGAGTACATGTATTCTGAGTGCTATTTTGCATACCCCTGTCTGTTGTGTAATTGCTTTGTAAGAATAGTTTCATGTTTAATACATATCCACAGTAAATGAACATTGAGAACAAAGTTCTGTTCTTGTTAATGAACTGTAGTCTTTTAGGATCTCTGAATACAGAGTACCTGAAAAGATATCCCTTGGAAGGCCTAGGTGTTGAATGGAAGATCACCATTTGCCATGCCGTGCATTAGATTGGATTCCAGTAGGACAGTGGAAAGAGGGAAATCATGAAACATATGGAAAATATATAATATAATGAATTTGGGAGTGAGACCTATCTGACAAAACTGCATAAAATGGCAAAAGATAGATATTTGGTATGAGGAAGCATTAAAGGGAAGAAACCTTGAAGAAGAAAAATACGGTATAGGAGGGTGTGGACTTGTTTTTATTTGAGTATAAGGACCTGTGGCAGGGACCATACAGCAATAACTTTTGGGTTCCATAAAAGGTAGGGACTTCTTCTCTTGCTGAGTAACAGTTCTCTCACTTCCATATAGTTAGGTAGGAAGGTAGGTAGGTAAAGGTTTTAATATTGTAATATTTTCAGTGCAGCATATTCCTGCTGATTTTACAACTTTAATTACATTTGTTTATTGTATCTAATACTCAGGATTGTAATCAAGTTTTCTACCTCTGTATGTAATAGTGCTCATAGTATGTGGCATTGAATTTCCTATGTATGTTTTCTTTTGAAATTGAGATCGCTCAGTCAGTGTAGCAACTTCACTATGGGCTGGATACTCAGAGAATTTGGATTCAATTCCCAGCAGGAGTTAGAGATGTTTCTCTTGTCCACAGCATCCCAAATAACTCCAGGGCCCACCCAGCCTCCTGTCTAGTAATTATCTGGTGGCTCATTCCGCTGGGACTAAAGCAACAGTAGCATGAAGCAGACTACTCACCTCCATCTCATGTCAAGGTTAAGAAACTGTGAAGCTATACCTCTGCTCCCCTCCTATGTCTTAATGTTATGGTGGTTAATGAAGCAGAGGAGTAACTTTATGGGTGCTTTCTTTCAGGTATGGTAATACCATCTCTTGGTTTGGTGGCTGTAGCTTGGGTCGGATGTGATCGTCTGGCTGTCATGCTCTTACTGGCTATTGCAGGAGGCTTTAGTGGTGCTGTTTATGCTGGAAATCAGATGAATCATATTGCCCTTAGTCCACATTTTGCTGGGACTATGTATGGTATCACAAATGCTGCAGCCAATACATGCGGCTTCCTTGCTCCGTATGCAATAGGCTTGTTAATTAATGGGAATGTGAGTGTTAACGCACTTGTTGATAAGCATCTGTTGGCAGAAATAAGATGATGCTGCAGTTCTTGTCTATTTACATTTATGTGTATTTTCACTTCACCTCCCTGTAGGGCTGGATATAAAACATGTCACACATTACAAATTCATGATGACTACACATCATATGTCCTTGGTCCAATAAAGTATATCATCAGGCCTCACGCAGACAGCACAAGCTGTCAAGACACACACAGGCCATGGAAAAACCATTGTCAAATTTGACCCTGAACAAAATCCCTCATGTCCATGATTTATTTAATCCGTCTTGCAGTGCATACCCTCATCTATCTCCTTCTCTCACTCGCACTACATGTTTCGGCACAAAAATGCCATCCCCAGGTGCTTACTCAATCCACGCCAAACTAGTTCATTGCATGCCTTGTCCTCACATTAAAATAACTAAAATATATATCTATCATATACATTGACAAATGTCAAACGTTAAAAATATTAACATTGTTCAGGATTCCTGATCGCTACGTCGCATCTTACTACGCCAGTCACGCCCATCCTACTCTGTTGGAGCACTTCTTCACTATCGTGTGTATTGTGTTTTTGTTGTGTCTTGCTCTTGTGACTGCGTGTGTTATACTGTTGGGCTTGCTGGGTATGTGTGTCTATATATATTTTAGTTATTTTAATGTGAGGACAAGGCATGCAATGAACTAGTTTGGCATGGATTGAGTAAGCACCTGAGGATGGCATTTTTGTGCCGAAACATGTAGTGCGAGTGAGAGAAGGAGATAGATGAGTGTATGCACTGCAAGACGGATTAAATAAATCATGGACTTTAATCAGTGCAACAGGACGCTAAAATATAACAAAATCCCTCATATTTACAACCGTAACTCTATGCTGCACAGTTGCACACCTTGCCATACAGGTTAGGCTGTTGTTATTTCATAATACTTTATTAATTCATGAGATTACATATGCTCACTGAGATGTGAGAAAGTGGTTGTGTCTAATTTTAAGGTACTGTCACAATATTTATTCAGAAGCACTGAATAAAACCATGAAAAGGAATAGCTGGTCTCCAGCCAAGTTTCAAACCAGATATCCTCCAAATTTTTATCAGAAGCCACTTGGTAGTAAATTTATCCACTCCTAATGGTGGAGAAGTATTTCAGAGAGTTCTTCACACTTTTTGGTCTTAGTTTTGGATTTTGGCTGGACTGCATTATATCCTGTTTCTTTTTTGTATGTTGTAAATATGCACTGACCACATTTATCTAGGTCTTTTTCTATAATGGACTCTTATGTCAAACTTTTCTAAAATATCTTTAATATTGGGTCCTATGTATTTGAACTATATATTTATTTGTAGTGTACTTCAACGTATTCATATGTACACAAGATTTCTCTTCTGTGAGGTTGCATACACAATGTATGACATACCCTGGTTTTTAGAGTGGATGGATTTCACTCTTGCTCTTACATTAGATGCACTGGACCTGGGAAACTGCAGTGCTAGTGGCAGAAATCTGGTCAGAAGCTCACAAATTGGGAATTCAGTTTGCACTGGATAAAAGTTGACAAGATATTCATGATAAAATTGTCTTTTGTCACTTTCAGGACACTCTGACTCAGTGGCGTAAGGTATTCTACATAGCAGCAGCCGTGACCATAGTTGGAAATCTGTTCTATGTTGTGTTTGCTTCAGCAACAGAACAGTCTTGGAGCTTGGAAATTTCAAACAAAATTAAAGATGAAAAGGAAAAGGAAATTAACAGAGCAAGTGAGTGCATCTCTTCTGTATCCTTTGTCATTATTTCATTAACCATCTCCACAACGTGCATAGATAACAGTTTTTTTTTATTGCTAGTGGGGTGGGACTAAATCCCTTGTACTGCGGCCACTTCTGGCCTATTGTACCAGCCCCAGATGATAGGTGAGGGTGATTGTGGAGCAGTTGGTGGAATGAAGATAGGCAGGGGAAACTGAAGTACTCAGAGAAAACCTTCCCCTGCGCCACTTTGTCCACCACAAATCCCACTTGACCAGACCCGGGATCGAACCCGGGTCACCACGTTGGGAAGCCAGTGACTAACCGCTTGAGCTATGGCACGGCCTTAGATAACAGTTTAATAGTAACCGAACTATATGTTTTATTTTCTAAAATGATGAAATATCTATATCAAGTATTAATGGTCATCAGGTGAACATTTTAAGTCTTTGTCTTCTGTCTTGACTTACTCTGTGACCAGCCAAGTACTGTGTCAGAGATGAAGCCACCAACTCAGAGACAAAGAATGTGAAAATGTGCTGCCTGCTCAGGACTGTTACACCGTAGGGGGGGATGCTGGGAATGAGAGGGAGAATTGGTTGAATGATGATTAGTAGGGGAAAACCAAAGAACTCGAGAGAAAAAGCTACTGCAGTGCCACTGTGTACACATAATCCATGGTGAAAAGCCAGTTTTGTATTATTTTTGCTCTCTCTCTAATCTGACTACTGGCTTCTGAACTAACAATAAACCCTCTAACTGTAAGCCTTCTAACTAGGTTCGATTTATATCTAGCTTCACCTTATTTTGTGTGTTTATCTCAACATTTGTTTTTTTTTTCTTGCAGATTCCATTCAACAACCATGACTTGGAATATAGAAGAATTTATTTTATGTATTTGTATAGTATATTGCCATGTCTGTGATATTGTGGTGAACTTATTTTGATACAGTAATGGATAGTATTTTGGTAATATTAGCAGTTCCTCGATCCATTCTTCAGATCATGAATCCGAAGATGGTTTTGATAGGTTCAGAGCAACCTGTTTTGTCCATTTTGACTTCACTATAATAACCAGGGAGAAACAGAATATATTGGCTTCTTATGAAGTAATTTAGTGTGAATTTTCAAACATTTTCAATACCAAAGGTAAAAATATCTCAGAATTTGTATTGCGTATGTAGCCTGTTTCTCATTGTGCTTTGACACTAATTTTATCATTTATACCTACAATGAAATCTCAGTTGAATGCAGTTTAGGGGAAGGTTACAATTTTATCTTCAAATATTAAAAATTTTACATTTAAATTATGTTGAATTTAATCACAGTTTTTTGAGTAGTTGGACGTCACTCTCCAAATTTAAACCACCATTCAATTTACATCACAATTTTAACTTTCTTCTCGTCTGTCAGCCACACTGGATTACTTAGCAGGATTGCTGGATGAGGGATCATAGCTGGTTTAAGGGGAACAGGGAAGCAACTGGTTGCCACTTTTAATGAGGTATTGATACAGGCATATGCCTGCTGAGAATTGTAGAAATCATAAAAGACCTCAGTCAGATAACTTCTGCTGACAAAAAGTGAAACCAGATGCCTCTAAATGTAAAACTAATGCTCTGCCACCTGATCTATTCTTTGTACACTATGTAAATATAGTGTTCACATGTAACACTCTGCGTTAATGTGAGGATAGATTATAGCATGCAAAGTATTTAAAGCTCTATTTGTGTACAGTAAAATTATTTGTATGTCATACAGTTTTTCCACTGATAATTTATGTATGTTTGTACAGCGAATGCCTTACCAAGGAAGCTCTGGAAGGGCTCGGAGACTTCAAACTAGGAGGGCAAATTATTCAAACTGCGAAATATGCAGATGACCTTGTGTTAATGGCTAAGGAAGAAACTGTGCTACAGGGCATGATTGATAGACTGATTGAAATTGGAAGGTGCTGTGGCATGGGAATGAATGTGGAAAAAACAAAAGTAATGAAAATTTCAAGACAACCAACCCCAGTCACAATAAAGATAGACCAAAAACAACTGGAGAATGTGAAATGTTTTAAATATTTGGGTAGCTTGTTAACAGATGACGGAAGGTGTACTAGTGAAATTAAATCCAGGATTGCCATGGCAAAAGCTGCATTTAGCAAGAAGAAGAATCTTTTTACCAGCAAATTGGACTTAAATTTGAGGAAGAAACTAGTGAAATGCTACATTTGGAGCATAGCTCTGTATGGGGCTGAAACATGGA